GACGACGACCACACCCACCACTATGGTTATTACGACCGTAACTACAACAACGACGACGGCAGCACTGACTGGGACGACGACAGGATAGCACTGGTGCGTTGTATTGTACAAGCTTCCATACGTTGATGACATAATACGTAGTATTGCCTTATTCATATGATCGTGTAATGAAATATATAATCAAATGAGTATTAAAAATAATGATAGATAATAACAATTTAATTCTCTGTAATATATATCTATATATATATATATATTATTGAATTATATATATTGAATTATATTTTGTTGAAATATTAATAATAATAAATAATTATATGCGTTTTTTTTCTTTTTCTTTTTTTGGCGGCCCTACAGACGCAAGCTGTTCGTGGCTCATGAGAGCACATCAACCCATGGGTCGTCTCGTAGATTTCCAATGGCATGTCCCTGTGGTCCCGCAGAATGTTTTGTGGCATGCCCCGTGGTTGTCCAAGGTTGGTGCGTGGGTTGTTCCGCTACTTTTCGTAGGTTCCCCCCTGGTTGTCCCGTGGATTGTCCAGTGGACGTAGTTGTTCCGAGCGTGGGTTGTGCCGTGGGTTGTGTTATGCTTGTCCCGTGGGTCCCGTGTGCTGTTCCATGAATTATCCCGCTGGTGTCCCTAGGGTTGCCCCCTGCGCAATCCAATGAATTATCCACGGGTTTGTCCAACGGATTCCCCTGAAATTGTCCAGTGGGCTGTTCCGTGTTTTGCCTCGTGGATTGCTTCGTGTCCCTGTGTGGTATCCACAATTAAATGCACGTGGGCATGAAATTCGACATAGAAGTCTGCGACATTGCATTACAAGGGTCGGCGGACAATCGTGAATTCAGCAAATACTATTTGAGACTTTACTTCGATTGCATGTCTGGTTGGTGAAATTATGATCGATATATATATATATATAAAAAAAAACCAACCAAATAGCGAAGGCCAATAGATGATATAAGCTCGCCCCCGCAGTGATCATACCATCCCCTTTGGCTTCCATGATTTCACCTGTTCTATTATTCCGTCCTCCCCAACATCTGCTCCCCGCTCTCCTACGCTCCTCCTCATCATCTTATCCCCATGCCGCGGGACAGTGCAGCCTCGGGCTGGGGGCGGCGGGGCAGCGCAAGGCTTCTTAGCATTTCCTCGCGTTGGATCCCGGTCCCTCCCTACACTCAGGAAATGGATGGTGATGAGGGGGTGGCGGAGAAGGACTACATGCAGAATGCGAGCGAAAAGGATGGAGCTAGATAAGACGAGTGCGATTCCGACGATGGTGACGATGATGATGACGATGCTAATGATGATGGTGGCGATGACGATGACAATGCTGACGAAGAGGAAAAGGAGGAGTAATCCTTCATAAAGAATCCTTAGTAAGGAACCCATGTTAAAACAAATATCCACGATAAGAAATCTGCAACTACGGAGCCCTTTTTCAAATAGAATCTGAACTAAAAAGCCCTTACTAAATAACATGATATCAAAGACCTGTCATAACGAGTCGTCGAGGTATCCTTCCTAACAAACCCAAATTACGGAATCACTACTCAAGAATGTTTGCCCAAAAGTCCTTACTAAAGAATATGTACTACGGTACCCTTACTAAAAAAACGGAATAAGGAATCCTGCATAATGAACCCTTACAAACAAATCCCGAACAGAGAATCTGAACTAAAGAATCTTAAATACAAGATCTTTACTACAGACCCCTTCATAAGGAATCCGGAATAAGGGATCTCAACTACGGAACCCTTAAAAGGAAGATGTAGCAAGGAATCCGTACTAAGGAATATTTAGGAAGAAACCCTTAATGAGGAATCTGAAATAAGAAACCTTTAACTAAGTAAGAAAAGAACCTGTACCACGGACTCCATCATAAGGAACAAAAGCAAGGGATCCTGACTAAGGAGAGGACGCGTTTCACGGGCGCTTGCCTGGGAAACATTCGGCGGCGCATTTCGAACCGGGTGGTGGGGCCACCACCCGACACTCGGCGCCGTCGATCAAAATCAGGGGGACCCCGCTCCCCCCCAAACCCCCCCCCCTCCCGAACCCCCCTCCCCGCCCTCCCTCCCAAGTGGGGGGGGGGTTCAACCCCCCCCCCCCCGGGGGGAAGGGGGGTTTCAAATCCCCCCCCCTCCTCGGCGCCGGCGCCCGCGCTGGCGGCGACCAGCAGCGTCGACGCTGGCACCGGCGACGGCGGGGACGCACCGACACCTACCACCACTACCACCACTCACCATCACCACTACCACCACCACCACCGCCTCAACCCACCACCACCAACACCGACAGCACCACACACCACCACCACCACCACCACCACCACCACCACCACCACAGCCACCACCATCACCACCACCACCACCCCCACAAAAACCCACCACCACACCACTACCACCACCACCACAATCTACCACACCACCACCAGCACCGCCACAACCACCACCACCACCACTACCAGCAGCAATATAAGTAATCCACCGCCACCACTACAAACGTCCACACCACCACCACCACAACAAACGTCCACAAACCACCGCCACCACCACAACCCACCACCACCACCACCACCACCACAAACCACCACCACACCACAACCACACCACCACAACCACCACCACCACAACTCACCATCACCACCACGACTACAAACCCACCACCACTACCACCACCACCACAATCTACCAACAACACCACCACCACCGCCACAACCACCACCACTACCAGCAGCACAACCCACCACCACCACCACAAACCACCACACCACCACCACCACCGCCGCCACCACCACTACAACCACCACCGCCGCCACCACCACCACCACCACCACAACCCACCACCACAACCACCGTCGTCCTCGTCGACGCTCCCCGCCACCGCCGCCCGCCGCCGCAGGCGCCGGCGCCGGCCCAGAAATGGGAATCGACGTCCCCGTCGCCGTCGCCGCCGCCGACGCAAGCGTTGGCCCGAGGAGAGGGGCAGGGGAGGGGGGGGGGGTTCGAACCCCACCCCCCGTCACGGGAGGTGAGCGGGTGGGGGGGGGGTCGAAACCCCACCCTCCCCCTCCGTCGCTGGAGAGGGGGGGGGTTCGAACCCCCCTCCCCACCCTCTATCCAGGGGGCGGGGGGGCGTCCGGTTTCACCCCCCCTCCCCTCCAAGCGACCACAGAACGCGCTCTTTCTGACTAAGGAATCCCTGATAAGGAATACTTGGTAAGGAATCCTTCATAAAGATTCTTGGAGAACGCCTGACTAAGGATTCTTTGTTCCAGAACCCTTCAAGTAAGGAATATATGTAACATCGGATTCCTTAACTCCAGAATTCAATTGAAGAGTATTGCCTCAGGAATCCTTGCCAAGGAATATTTACTCAAGGAATGTGTGCTAAGGAGTCGCTAAGGACTCCTTTGAAATGAGTCTCAACTAACGAGCGTGTACCAAGGAATCTGAAATAAGAAATCCTTAATCAAGAATCTGCACCAAGGAAGCCTTTTACAAAGAAGTCTTTCGTAACGAACCCTTCATAACGAATCTTAACCAGAGAAAGCCTCAACGGCCAGGCGTCCTCACCCTCGGATCAAGGAATCGCTGTGTACATTTGTTGTTGTTTGTTTTTTTGTGGTCTGGCATGCAGGTAACATCATTGTTTTCCAGGCTCAGAGAAAGTGCTACGAGGGAGGCCGCGGCGAACACTCGAGCCTGCAAAATCCAACAAAAACAAAGGCAACACAACAAACAAGTGCTTCGTGGCTTCACAGATCAAGAAAATAAATCTCAAATCCGCAATGATTCCTTGCACCAAGGGCGCCAACTACTACGTATGTTTGTGTTTGGGGGGGAGGTGCGAAGTAGGCTCAGCGAGTAGTGCTGCGAGGGCGGCCGCGGCGAGCACTGGGGCCTGCAAAGCCCCAAAACATGCCACAGTGTTTCGTTGCATCACAAACATGAGAAACCCAAACAAAACAAAATACACACTGCTTCCCTGCGCCAAGGGCGCCAACTACTGCGAATGCGTGGTTGTTTTGTGGCGCAGGCTCACAGACAAGTGCTGCGAGGGAGGCCGCGGCGAGCACTGGGGCCCGCCAGCAACAAACATGTTTCGTGGATTCGCAAACAAAAAAAGCAAACCAAACATACTCAGCGATTCATTGCACCAAGGGCGCCAATCACTGCGTGCTATGTGTTGGTTTGCAGGCTCAGCGAGAAGTGCTGCGAGCCAGAATTTCTTCGTGGCTTCTCTAAAACAAATAACCAACAACAAAACATACACAGTGTTTCCTTGCATCAATGGCGCCAACTACTGCGTATGTTTTGGGTGTTGCAGGCCCAGAGGGAAGTGTTGCGAGGGAGACCGCGGCGAGCACTGGGGCCTGCAGAACCAAAGACACAACCAACCCAAACATACCAAAGTTCGCTGATAAACGGTGAGGAGGAGAGGCAGGCCGAGAGCTCAACTGCCAATCCGATGCGCGCATCCCCCCCACCGAACTTCATGATCACCCAGATGGTGGTGCACGAGGTACGATACTACGCACACCCAGGATGTTGGTAGATATGCCTGGATTCAGGGCTCCCCAGGCGGGTAAAGTAATGAGCTCCAGTGAGAACTACTTAGACAGATGCCTACGTATCCGCGCGCTCGGCATGCTGAATAGGAGTGCAGAGCAAAACTCAACATGCGCGCGACCAAACAATGTTAGATGCTCGTTCTGGGGACCTTCCTGGAGCCACTCGCTCCACTCGTGCGTCGAAGCTGCGTCGAACGTCAGTCGATGTGGGTCGACCCTGAGTCGAACCTGAGTCGAACCTGAGTCGAACCTGAGTCGAACTTGAGTTGAACTTGAGTCGAACTTGAGTCGAACTTGAGTCGAACTGGGGTCGAACAGATCCGTTAGGTGGGCTCCAGGAAGGTCCCCGAAACGAGCATCGAAACAATGGGAAGAGTGGCCAAGGCTGCGCGCTTCTTCGATTCGTGCAGCTCCGGCCTCGCCGCCCAGGACAGCACGGAAGTACGCAAAGATCTGGCCGGTCACGAATGCGTCGTAGCCGGCAGTGTGGAACTCGACCGACTTGCTGTATCTGTCGAACCCCTCCGGCAGGGAGAACGACCTGGGCGTCAGGCCCAGCTGACAGAGAGAGGACACGGAGGGAAGACGGCACACAGTTACTCACCGATCCTGGACGGGCCCAACCTGGGGCAAGGATTGTGTCGGGCGTGTCCCCCTACAGGGGGATTTTCGGCGAAAAAAAAAAAACACAAATACTCGCAAAAAGGCAAACAAATACACAAAACATAGTCCCCAGACTATTTTTGGACTGTTTCTGGACAATGTTTGGGGTATCGTTTGTTTTCCGTCGAAAATCCCCCTGTAGGGGGACAGGCCCGACTTGAGGCAGGGAGCGGTGCACACACCCTCCTGGCTCGGCCAGGGAAGCGCTGGCCTGGGCCCAGCACGGGCCTGGCCGGGAGCGGCGCCTGTACGCATCTCCTCGCCGGAGGGGGACAACCAGCCTCGAGCTCATCCCTATCCCTAATGCGGGATGACGATTCATTAAAACATGGGGGGAACGATTTTTTGTTTTTTTGTTCAAAGCCTGCTATTTCTGCAGAATTCTCTGACTGGAGGAGAACGGTTTAAAACATAGTTCTCCAGCCCGCGGCCGGTTTTTTCTAATCGTCATCCCGGGCGCCGCCGCGTGAACACGATCCCCGGTCATTTATTAATCGTCATCCTCCATTAAGATGGGCGAGCAAAAAGCGAGGACAATCTTAGGGATAGGCCCTCAGAGACCAAGGGAATCCTTAAGAGCGGCATCGAGGTGAGGTGATGTCAAACATAGGGATATGGATATGCTTCAAACTGGTAAGAGGGAGGGGTGGAGGAGTCAGCGTCTGGCGATCTGGCAGCTGCAGGGTCTAACCCAAGCGTGCACTCTCCACCCGCACATGCCGAGGTCTCCCCTCACTTGGTGCTGTCGCAGTGGTGCTGTCTCGTTACCACAGCTGCTACCATCGCCAGTCACAGCAGAGCCTGCAGCCAGATGCCCCAATAACGAGATAAGAGGTACGATCCGGCGATGCGGGCACACCAAGGATCGCAAATCGTCCGAGCGAGCGACGCGGAGAGTGCCGTGGCGAAGCCGAAAGACACAGCGCCGGGTCCCAAACATCCGCTGTCGTCGTGTGTCGTGGCACGGGCCCCTGTACCTCTCGACCCCATCCAGGGGACCGGCTTTCCATGCGGTCGTCCTCTGATGGCCCCAGGGCCGGAAACGGGCCTGCGAGAGTCAACACTTGAGATGCATCGGGTAAAGCCTGTGGGGCCATCAGGTTAAGCTTCCTGCTCCTTGCGCTAGACGCAAGGTTCAGCTTCCAATTTCAATTGTTGTGGTGCTACTTTCTGCTTCCTGAAGGTTGATACTGTCCACGAGAAGGGGGGAACCGGAGCCCACCCGCCCTAGCCACCACGCTTCACTCGCGTTGCCTGAATTCCTGGTGGGCCCTGGGAGATCTAAAGTACATCAGCTTGCGCCTCTGAACCAATGACGCCTCGTAGCTTACACCAAATGCGCGCCCCCAAGGCCAGAATCCTTGTTATACACGACGCCAGAATCGCCCTCCCGAGGCCACAATTCTCTTGTAAATCACAGCCAGGCTCGCGCTCCCGAGGCCAGAATCCCTAGCAAATTGCTCCAGGCTCATGCTCCCGAGTCGAACATCTTTTTTACTAACAGATTCGCGTGACTCCAAATCCGCGCTCTCGACTGCAGAATCCTCAGAAAGATCAGTCTTTTGTTTTGGTCCCACACTCTCACTCGGCGGCGAATAGGACTGATCCTACTTAAAACTGGCCCCTTATCGTCCTCGTCCTCATCCTCCTCCTCCTCTTCCTCTTCCTCCTTTTCCCCCTTCTCCTCCTACTCCTCCTCCTCTTTTTTCTCCTCGTCCTCCTCCTCCTCATGCTCCTCCTCCTCCTGCTCCTCCTCCTCGTCCTCCTCATCCTCGTCCTCCTTCTGCTCATCCTCCTGCTCCTCGTCCTCCTCGGCCCCACCCGCTCCTGCTTCTCCTCCTCCTCCTCGTCCTCCTCGTCCTCCTCCTGCCCCTCCTCGTCTCATTCCTCAGGAGGAAGAAGAGGAAGAGGAAGAGAGGGGGAACAGGAGGAGAGCTCCTCTTCCTGGCCGTGATCGTTATCGTACTCGTAGTAGTCAACGTTGTCGTCGTCGTCGTCGTCGTCGTCGCGGCGAAGATTATGTTCCATCTATTGTTGGGCAAGCCGGGTTCTGTTTGGGGCTTCCTCCCAGGGAATAATCCATTGTGGGCGACCCTGCACGCGAGAGGATTTGTGAGCATCTTCTCATGAGGATTGCAATAAGAATCAGTGGTTGCTGGTGTAGTCGTGGTTGTACTCGTGATTGCAATCGTACTCGTAGTCGTGGGTGTAGTCGTAATCGTGGTCGTCGTCGTCGTCGTCGCGGCGGTGATTAGTTTCCCTCAATTGTTGGGCGGGCTTGGTAATGTTTGGGGTTTCTCCCTCCCAGGGAATACTCCAGTGTGGGCGACACAGCACGCGAGAGGATGTGTGAAAATCTTCTCATGAGTGATGCAATAGGAATCAGTGGTTGTGCTTGCGATCGTAATTGTGGTCGTGGTCGTAATAATCATCGTAGTCATGATCGCAATCGCCATCATAATCCCAATCGTAGACGTAATCGTAATTGTAACCGTCATTTCGCGGCGGGTGCCACGGATAAACATTTTTGTTTCCGCTATTGGTGGGGCCCCAGTCCTTCATTAAGGCCGCTGACAAGATAGTGGGGGGGTCTGAAGACTTATCGAGGTGAAAGTGTGCAGCATGCGCGCTCCCGAATACATACTCCCTCCTCAATTACACCAGCTTCGCGCTCCCGCGGTCTGACTCCTGCGTGAATTGCGCAAGACTCTCGGTCCCGAGGCCAGAATCCTTTGTACGTTCCACCAGCTTCAAGCTCTGAGCAGATAACTGAAGCGTTCATCAACAACACTAACATCTCAATGTGCTTTGCTGGGTGCCAGTCGTCCTCGACTGCTGTTCCCACGAATTGTGGAAACAACTCCGAATGGTCCCATCATTGCTTTGACATCTACCGCCCAAATAGGTAGGGAGCAGGCGACAGAGGGCGAAACCCTTACGGATACAAATAATGTCTCCGATCTTCCGCGACGATAGGTCTGAGGACCTCGTCATCCCCCTCTTCGCCAGCAAGCGTGCCGTCGTGGACTCTGAGCGCAGGGCAGGTGAACGACCTCCTCGCCAGACTCGCCTCCAGTGGGAGGGCCGAGGCAGCCGACGGGCAGAACCTCCCCTTCTCCTCCGGGTGCTGCTGCAGGTGCTCATCTCCAGAAACCTCTGGACTCCTACTCACTCCTCACTCCTCACTCCTCACTCCTCCTCCTTTTCTGACGTTGCGCGACCCCAGTGCGTCAACACGTGGCGTTCTTCTTCCTCCTCCTACTCCTCCTCGTCGCCCTCCTCCTCCACCTCACTCCACGTTGACGATGACGATGGCAACAACGTTGAGACGGCAACGACGACTACGACCCCTCAATAAGTCACGCGCGCCACCTCCTTCTCTGCTCCCTCCCTGATCTCTACTCCCGCCCCCTCCGCTCGTCGCGGATCCCTGATTGAAGATCCCTGAACTCGAACCGGGCCCCCAGATGACGAAATGATAGAACCAGCGCAACTCCTTCGATGCTCCCCCTCCTCCTCCTCCTCTTCCTCCTCCTCCTCCTCCTCTGAATTAAGCCCCCGGGCCTCTCCAGCGTCAGAGCTTGACTGCAGCTTCGCACGGAAACAATACGCAGCTCCTTGGAGCCGAACAGAAACATATAACAAATATCGAAAAGCCATCGAATCTCGACCTTCGATCCTCAACCGCCTCCGCTCTGCTGCCGGTTACCTGCGGTGGCCCACCAAGGCCGCTCGGTGCTTTCGGGAGACCCGGGGCTGCGACGGCCCACAAGCAGCTCTGGAACGAGGCGCAAGGCATCGCTTCGACTGCTCCGAGGGCATGGTTTTCGAAGGGGTTGTCTTTGGAGGCAGTCCATACTTACAACCCCTTGGGAGGCATGGTCTCGGATACGCAGTCTATCGCCCCCGAGTTGGCCTGTGGGGTTGCGTCGACGTCGTTGTCCCTGCAGGGTATTCGAAAAATGTCGCGTTCGTTCTGCTGCCAGCCCTCAATGAAGTCATCAACATAAGCTTCAACTTTCGGATGTCCTGAATGACTACGTCTTGCAAACTTGCCAACTCGGCCGCGTGGCCGAACCCGACAGCGGACTCCAAGAATCGCGCCCAAAGTGGAAGGACATGCTCCGCTGGTGCCAGTGGTGCGCCTTAGCCCAGTCTCCCGATGTCCCCAACGAGGTCCGAAGCCAAGCGATGACCGATCGACAAAATAACCGCAAGAGAAGGGCCCCGCGGATGAAGGCCTGGCTCCATGCATTACGGGCTCCTGGACCTAATCAGGATCGCCGTGTGAATAGGACTGGTCCTAAACCCTCCTCAACCTCCTCCTCCCCTCCTCCTCCTCCGCCTCCCTCGTCTTTCTCTTCCTTCTCCTCCTCTTCAGAGAGGAAGAGAAATAGAGAGAGAGAGAGAAAAAACAAAAAAGGAGGGGGAGCGGGTGCCGCGGACCAAAAAATAGTTACCCCCTATTGCTGGGACCCCAGACCTCCAATAAGGCCGCTGGAACATGATTTGTCCCCCCTATTTGGGAGGTGTTCAGATCTGTCAGGCTTGAAGCATTGTCAGGCTCGGGAGTCTGCAGACACTATGAAGTATGAGGATGATGGATCCCCAGAAGTGGCCCTCCAAGGGGTACCATGTGGAGACCCCCACCCCAAGATAAACACAAACTTGAGATTCTTCAATATACTGGACCCGCTGCTGAAACTTGCCCTCGCCTATCCAATTTGCCACGCGTGGTTTCTCTCACACGCCTGTTCCAAAGGGCAAGCCGGGCAAGGCATATTGAGGATGAGCTGGGCAGGATCCTCCTTTCTGGGCCAATGGCGATCATCAATACATCTTGTGGTGTTACCTGCGACCCTGTCAACGGTGACTTGAGACGGCCTGACATTGTTAACCGATGGGATCTGCAGCTGACCGATCCGATCCGATACTTGACACGTCCAAGCGCCGATCCGAGAAATCGGCGCGGACCTCGGAATGTGTATGTTGATGCCTCTGTTTGTTTCCCGACCCTTAAGGGAAAGGCCGAGTCGAGGCACTGGAAACTCAAGACTGGCTCAAAAAGTCGGTGCCCAGACCCCTCACGGGCTCCGAACGCACCAATTGACCGAGCTGCGTCCAGCCGTGGCGACGACCAAGGCCGCACTGACGGCGTGCTTGGTTAATGGTGCGGTTGGGAATGTTGTTTTTGCGACACCGAGCTCACGCAAAACATAATGTAGGAAATCACGACACACTGTTTTCCGGCATGTCAAATGTGCGGATGTATCGAACGACATCGGCACTGCGAATTGTGGGAAAACACGGGCCACGCGCTCCTGCAATTGGTTTGGCCACGCACCACGCCCTCCTACAATTGGTTGACCTACTTCGCCGTTGTAACACACCGTCAGCGTGTCTACGGGACGAGGGGCACCCCCGAAGGCCAACTACGGTCAAGGATGCGCGGCAGGGATGCGAGGACCTCGGACGCTCATGCCGAGGCTCCTCGGCCGGGGGCTGACCATCGGACATTGGCGTAGGACGCACCGAGGATGACAGGAGAGGCAAGGACGCAATGCAATCTTTCACCCGGGGCCGTAGGCGACCCGAGGAGGAGGAGGAGGGGGAGGGGGGGGGGGAGAAGATGGAGGAGGAAGAGGAGGAGGAGTATGAGGAGGAGGAGGGAGGAGGAGGAGGAGGAGGAAGAGGAGGACGGGTCGCCTAAGCCCTTCGGAGAAACCCTCCTGGGCACCCTTGGGGAATTGCTCATCCGTGCGCCGGTATCTCAAGCGTCCCTCCGCCAACTCTAGAAGAGGGAGGAACGGCATAGACATTAACTTTTGGCGCTCCGCGCGGATTTCTTAGATCTGCGCTGGACCCCTCTCTCTGGCGCGCGGAACGCGCCAGGGGCGGCGCCGGGGGGAATCCAGCGCGGATCCAAGATATCCGCTCGGAGCGCCACAAGTGTATGTTTATGCACTTTTTCTTTCTCGAGCCTTACGCGTAGCCTCAAGTCGGGCTCGTCCCCCTACAGGCTGATTTTGGACGAAAAACAAAAGCTAAATTCAAAACAGTGTTTACTTTTTGAAACCATGAGCAACATCCGCACATTGTCCACATACTGCTCTCGTGTAAACGGACAAGCCGACACCCACCCTGCCTTACAGCGCCCATGTATGCATAGATTCGGCAGAGCCCGCGGATGGCCCCGAATGATATCCCGACGTCGCATTTCCATCGTCGGCAAGACTGGCAGGATGCACATGGCCGAACAAGCCACTTTGGCATCTGTATTGCTGGGTGGGTGTCGTAATCTTGCACCCGAGACTTGAGCGTAGCCCATCCGCGCCTATGGTGATCAGCGACACGTCCTCCGCGTCGGGAGCCTCGCCGGTGCCGGCGGAGCGCGGCCTCGAGGACACCGCCCCTTCCGCGCAGCGGGGGGGCGGTGTGGCGGCAAGGGCGCGCGGAGGCTGCTCTCTTCCAAGGGCGTCGCATCCCCCCGGGAGGTGCCAGACATCCAGCTGCTCCAGTGTTTTTGCTACGTGGGGTCCCTCCTCCTCCTCCTCCCTCCTCCTCCTCCTCCTCCTTCTCCTCCTTCTCCTCCTGCTCCTCCTCCTCCTGCTCCTCCTCCTCCTCCTCCCACTCCTCCTCCTCCCTCCTCCTCCTCCTCCTCCTCCTCCTCCTCCTCCTCCTCCTCCTCCTCCTCCTCCTCCTCCTCCTCCTCCTCCTCCTCCTCCTCCTCCTCCTCCTCCCCCTCCCCCTCCCTGGATCTGAGCCCCTGAGGACCGACTTTCTCTTTCTGCTGTCCTGGATCGTCCTCCGCACGGCCGCGGGGCACGGCGAGGGCCCCATGGGCGGCCGAGGCCAGCCCGAGCCGCCCGCTCCGCGTGTCATTGTCCGGAGCGCCGGACCTCTGGGATGCCGTCGACGATATAGACGGGCGGAGCGGGGACCGACCGTCCCGGCATTCCCAGAGGCCTACCACGACAGGTTCTTAGAAATCCAAGCCCCAGAACACAAACTGCTAGTTGCAAGGGAAAAACGAAGAAACCAGGCGGCCCCGCCTGTTCTTAGAAACCCCAAAGTGTTCTGAGAACACAAGCCATGTTCTCTTGGTACATAACCCCTGATGCGTTAAAACGCGGCATTCCCAGAGGCCTACCACGACAGGTCCTTATCAGGGGGACGTAAGACCTGGGTACAGGGGACTCGGAAATCCCCGACGAGGTCGTCACAAAAGTGACGAGGCCGAGCCTGGATTTTGACGAGGCCTCCCGCTGCAGACATCCCACGAAACTCCTCCTCGTCAAAATCCGAGGCGCGGTCGTCAAAAAACGTTGGCGAACCCGAGTCCTGGCAAACCCGGGTCTTACGCTCCCCCGATCTTCGAAACCCAAAAGTGTTCTGAGAACACAAACCATGTTCTCTTGGTACATAACCCCTTATGCGTCAAAACGCGGCAGTCTCAGCGCCAGAAGTGTTCTAAGGACATTTCGTGCAAACCACAAGAGGTTCGCAGAACACTCTGTGGTAGGCCTATATCGGCGTGCCAGAACGCTTTGCCACTGCTCGCATGGGCGACAGGCACCTGGTGGTGAACCAGCACTCGGGAGCGGCCAAGAGGGGGGTGTCCAATAGGGGGGGTGCAAATCATGACCGGCGGCATGTGCGCGGCTCAGCGGGGGGGCCAGGGACGTAATGGAATAAGAAAAGGCGCCACGAAATCTGGGGAAATATCATGGCCCACGCCATGATATCCCCCCCCCCTAGTCATCCCCCCCTCTTTTCCGCCTCCGAAGCACGGCCATGGGCCAGGAGGGCTCCCGGGCCCCTACCGGCGATGAGCGGGCGATTGAGGGTCGCTGCGCCCTCCCCATCGCGGAGCCCCTTCCCTGCTAGTTTTCGGGTCCTAGGTCGGGCATGTCCCACTACATGCGGATTTTGGGCGAAAATAGACATACTCGAAAAATACTCCCAAACAGCGAAAACATACTAAACAAATCGTCCCCAGACTATTTTTTTAACTATGTTTTGAATATTCCTCCTGTAGAAGGACGTGCCCGACTTAAGTCATGCCTGGGGCCTCCAACTCCCTTCGGTACGATGCCGGCTCCCCTGGAACGCTCTCGGCGAGGCGCGGCTGCTGGAGAGCATCTCGAAGCTGCAAAAACAGCCGATCACCGACGGCAGCGGCCACCAGAAGCCTCGGAACTCGAACCTCGAGCCTATCCCCTCCAACGTTGTCCCTGACGTCGGAGTTCCACTGGCCCGGGTCTGTCCAGACCCAGGTCAGTCAAGCTCTGCAGGATCCTGCAGGACCCTGCAGGATACTGCAGGATCCCGCGCGCCAGCCTGGTTCCATGCCACCCTGGCTTTGCAGGATCCTGTAAGATCTGGCGTTCTGGCTGGCCCCATCTGCTTTGGCCCCATCTCTACTAACGAGGCGGGGAGGAGGAGGAGGAGGAGGAGGAGGAGAAGGAGGAGGAGGAGAAGAAGGAGGAAGAGGAGGAGGAGGAGGAGAAAAAGGAGGAGGAGGAGGAGGAGGAGGGGTAGAGGAAGAAGGGGAGGAGAAGGAGGAACACGAGGAAGGGGAGGAGGAGGAAGAGGACGAGGAGGTGGAGGAGGATGAAGGGCAGGAGGAGGCAGAGGAGGAGGAGGACGAAGAGGAGGAGGAGGAGGAGGAGAAGGAGTAGGAGGAGGAGGAGGATGGAAGCCTACCGCACTGGGCTGGAGCAAATTGGGCCGGACGACCGCGCCGCATCGCCGATGCATCGACGACGCGGACATTTCACCAGTGACGTCGGCGTGGACAAAGTCGGGCTGCGGATAGAGCCGCATCGCCGATGCATCGGCGAGGCGGCACGATCATCCGACTTCATTTTTCCGTGCCCCATCTGAAAGGCTTGGACGACCCCATCTGTAAGTTGTTCACCACCTGGCTCCCAAGAGGTCTGGGCCCACTCCCTGGGGCCACTCTTTGATACAGTTTCGTTTTTGCTACATACCTACGACCGAGCACCTCATGTCGTGCTTTCTTGTTTTTCACGACACGGCGATGTCAGGACCCTCTATACGTAAGGCGCCCTAGGGCCAAGCAGGAAACGAAAATGGGGGACGGCGGCGTGCTGCGAAGAAGCAAGGGCCGGATGGCACCGGCCGCGCTCAAGGGCCGCATCCTGGGGGCCGCGCGGGAGGGCGGGGGGGGGGACCTCTCCCATGCACAAGCAGTATCCCAAAGCACTGCCGTGTCCTACGTGCTACTCTCCCCATTGCTCCCGCTCCTGCTCTACAGCCCGTGTCGGCAGAGCCCGGAGACGCCATAGTGGCCGAATGGCCTCGCTGGCCTCGCTGATCGCACACATGTAAAGAACCAAGCTCTTGATCTTCCGCGCTTTACAGGCCCCGCCCCCCCAGCACGACGGCCGCCATCAATTTTGACCGAGCATTCCTACACGGCGCCGGCGCGAATCGCGACGTGACTGGCCCCCTTTCCCACTCCACCCCCCTCGGTCACGCCCACGATCGCAAAGGTGCAAAACTCTCGAGCAAAGCGCACGGGGGAAAAAAAATAGTCGAGATCGCTCCTGGGCAAACTGTCCTCCTCGAGCCCAGCGCGGGCGGCACGGATTGGAGTAACGCCGCGCGCAGATGCACATCAGGAACATCCGATCTTGGGTTCAGAACCTCGACATAAAACAGAGACATCCCCTGATGATTCAACCAGCATCCGACAACAAGACCCACAAAGAGCACAGCAAGTCACTGGCCACACAAGTCAGGAGGTACATCGACTGTCACATCGGTCCAAAGGACACTGGAGCAAGCTAACACCCACGTAGACTCGTATAGATACCAAAAACTCAACCAGCATACATCAAGTATAGTGTCCAGTCAAGCATGACATCGTCGCTCCCGTTTGTACTCCATAAGTCGGCTCGTCACCGGGCCAGTCGTAACGCCGCGCTTCCTGTTCCCATCGGGAGACTGGTGCCATTCGTTCCCCTTGCTTTTTGCCGATGTCGTGTGTGTCTCCAGCTGCTGCTGCTATTGCTACTGCTCATTCTTGCGCCCCCCCACGCCAAAACCAAGGCGTCCCTAGTCGTCCCCAGACAAAGACCCCTAAATCTTAGCCGTATCGGAGGCCATCTTGGGCCGTCGTGGAGTCGTCTGGACCAGGAAAAATCCTTTGGAGCCGGGTCCGGGCAAATTTTCGGCATTCTTTCGGGTGGCCGGCGGGACGCGCCGGAGCCCCAGGGGGGGTTCTTCTGGAAAAAGAGCCAAAACCAAAAACGATAGGATTCAGCACGCCAGGCACGCCTCTTGCAAGCAACAGGGGGCGGCTGCACTCCTGTTGATTTATCACAGGGGTGCCCGGCGTGCTGCACCCAAAAGAACTCCCCCTGGGGCTTCGGCTCAGCGCGCTGGCCACCAGGAAGGCACAGCCGCTGCGCAACTGGCCTCGACGGCTTCCAAGACGGCCAAGGTGGCCCAAGACTGCCTCCAAGTTCGCCCAAGATGGTCCAAGATGGCCTCCAATACAGCCCAAGACGGTCCCAGATGCCTCAAAGTCCGACCGACAAGCCACCCAGACTGCCCAAGATGCCTCCAAGAGGCCCCCAAGAGGCCTCAAAGACGGCCCAAGTGACCTCCAAGAGTTCCCACAAGTGGGCCCGAAGATGCCAGAATCCACGATGTCCCTGCGGTTTGTGGCAGATTTTGGAATTGGCTTCTTTTCGGCCCTCCTCCGCCCCTCCTCCTCCTCTCCCAACTCCTCCTCCTCCTCCTCCTCCTCCTCATCCTCCTCCTCCTCCTGCTTCCCTCCTCCTCCTCCTCATCCTACTCCTTCTCTCGATGGTTCACCTCTCTCCTACGCTCCTTCTTTCTCCCCCGCGTGTTTCCCGAAGGGTTTCCACAACGGCTGGGGGAACACATGGTTCGATAACTTGGCAGAGCTTTGGCCATGACGTTCGGCCACATGGGCGACTCCAAAAAGGCAGGGGGCGACGGTGGTTCGCCGTAGGCGTCTTCGATCCGCCGCCACCTGTTGATTTATCACAGGGGTGCCCGGCGTGCTAAACATATGATACTTTCTGGTCCGTTTGGAGACTTCCCCTGGGGCTTCGGCTCATTGCGCCGGCCACCCGGAAGGCCGCGTAAGCCGCCAGAGGAATTGCCCAATCGCTTCCAAGACGCCGAAGATGGCCTCCAAATTCGCCCGAAATGGCTTGAAAGACGGCCCAAGAGGGTCCAAGATGCCTCAAAGTCCGCCCAAGAAGCCACCAAGACGGTCGAAAACGGCCCAAGAAGCCCCCAAGAGGCCTCCAAGACGGCCCAAAAGGCCCCCAAGTGGAACTCCAGGAAGGCGTGCAGAGGCAACAATCATTGATTTTCTTTGGTTGTTGGCAGATGTTGGCATTTGTGTCTTTTCGGCCTTCCGACGGCACGAGATGATCAAAAACTCCCCAAGATCGCCTCAAGATCGCCCAAGAAGCCTTCGAGACGGCCGACGAGGCCCCCCAAACGGCCCCAAGAGGCCCCCAAGCCCGCCAACGAGGCCTCCAAGATGCCCAATACAGCCCTGGATCACCCCAAGGGGTTCCAAGTCGCTTCAGCGAGGCCCCCTAAGACGGCAAGGAACGCCCTGAGACTGCCAAAGAGGCCTCCAGAAAACCCCCAAAGGCCACGAGGCCCCCAAGATGCCTCCAGGAGGCCGCAAGGAAGCTCCCAGGAGGCTCCCAAGATGCCCTCCTCCTCCTCCTCCTCCTCCTCCTCCTCCTCCTCCTTCTCCTCCTCCTCCTTTCCCTCCTCCTCCTCCTCTCCCTCCTCCTTCTCCACCTGATCTTCCCCGCCATCCTCCCAGAAATGTTCCACGAAATGTTTCCACAACGGCTAAGGGAACACATGATCCGATAGCTTGGCAGAGCTCTGGCCACAACGTTCGGCCACATGGGCAGTTCCGAAAGGCAGGGGGCGGCGGTGCTTCGCCGTAGGGGACTTTGATAAGAGAAGATCGAAAAGACGGAAAGGAACACTAAACGATGCAATATTCACGCTACAACCCGCCTAACGACCCACCAACGAGCCAACCCGTTCGGGAACTAGCCCCCCAACAAGCTCGACAGACGAACACGACGCAACATTGCATTCAACACATCCTGCCTAAGGCGACTGCCAACACCCTCCTTCCCCTCCCCCTCCTCCTCGTTCCCCCTCCTCCCTGTCCTCCTCCCTCCCAACTCCTCAGGGTACCGCTCCCAAGCCATAAGACAAGACGAGTCCGCACACTTCCAATATGGCCGAGGCAAACTCCGAGCCGTCAGGATGGCCCAAAGCCGTCAGGAGGAGGAGGAGGAGGAGGAGGAGGAGGAAGAGAAGGAGGAGGAGGAGGAGGAGGAGGAGGAGGAGGAGGAGGAGGAGGAGGAGGAGGAAGAAGGGGAGAGGAGGAGGAGGGAGGGAGAGGGAGGAGGAGGGAGGGGAGAAGGAGGAGGAGGAGGGGAGGAGGAGGAGGAGGGAGGAGGGAGGAGGAGGAGGAGGAGGAGGAGGAAGGCGGCGGAGCGCAGACGGAGTAACGTACGGTAGGCAGGCGCCCTCCCGAAGAGGCCTGCCTGTTCGGGCCGCGGGCACCCTCCTGCAGACTGGGGCGGAGGAGGAGGAGGAGGAGGAGGGGGAGGAGGAGGAGGAGGAGGAGGAGGAGGAGGAGGAGGAGGAGGAGGAGGAGGCGGAGGGGGAGGAGGGAGAGGTCGGGGTGCCGCTCTCGAGCGTGTCTGGGCGGGCGGGGGAGCCGCCGCTGTCTCCACTGGCCCTCCTCCGAGTTAGGGGGGGGGATGGGCTCTGTGGAGAAGGAGGAGGAGGAGGAGGCCTCTAAACGGCAAGGTCTTATTTTGATTTGCGCACGGTACCACTCGGCTGGCCTCCCAGGGGGCCCAGCACGAGTGGCGACGGTTTTGCGCAGCTGGCAGCACCCTGGGAGGGCGAGGCTCCTTTCTTTGATCTGCGCAAGACGCCGTCCCGCTGGTCCTCACACGGGCCAACTAGATTGCAGACCTTGAAAAGATCACAGCGACAACGATAAAAACGGCAACAACGAGAACGATTAACCACAACGACAACGATAACAACGGTAACAACGATAACGGTAACAACGACAAATGCCTATCTTTGCAGTGTCTGCAGCAACCCGGCAGGCGGAAGGAGGAAGGATGGGGCGAGAAGCAAGGAGGCGGGGCAGAGAGGAGAAGCCGGCAGCAGCGCCAGACCTCCCGACGGTGTTTGTTTTGACAGATGTGATCGTCTTCACCTCTTCGGGCTTCCTTCGGCTCGAGACGGTCCTAGAGGCCTCCACGATGACCCCAACACGGCCCAGGAGAAACCCGAACCTTTGTCCAAGACGGCCTCGTGTTGGTCCGTGGACGGCCCAGGACGGCCCCAAGCGACCCCTCAGCTGGCTCTAAAGGGCTTTTGGAAAGACCCCAGCCCCGAGACGGCCCAAAAGTCCAGGCCCAAGAGAGCTCCTCATAAAGTGGAGGCGAGGGGCGCCGCACGCCACGCCGCCCTCCCAGAGTCCACCAGGGGACCACCCCGAGGGTCGGTCTTCCGCGGCGGCGGGGCGCGCCGCAGGCAGCCGGGTGGATGGGGAATCTCTGAGAGACGGCGGGGCTGGAGGATGTGTCGGGCGGCGCAGCCAGTCGAGAGCGCTCCTGCACGCTCTGAATTGGGCGTGGCTTCATGGGGGGGTCACAAGTGAGGGGGGGGTCAGACAAGGTCCCCTTTCGTGCCCCCTTCGGGCCCCTCCAGAGCCCCAGGGGGCTCGTTCAGGTACCGTTTGGGTACCTTTTCGGACCACGCTCGCCGCCCCCCCATTTATGACCCCCCCATTACGCTGCGCCCAACTGAAGGCGTTCTGGAACGCTCCGGGGCGACGTGTCGACATCCTAGGCCTGCCTGAGATTCGCAGCGTCGGGGCCGACCGCCCGACCGACCAGACCGGGACCAGGAAGGGGCTCCTTGCCGTCCCTGGCCCTACCCTTCCCTCGCAAAGGGAGGGCAACGGGGAGGATGCCGTCGCATAAGAAGGGAACAACCTGCCCGACTGCGAACACCTGGGGGGCGGAACCGACCGGCACGCGCACAAGGCCTCCCGCCAGAATCAACGGCCGCCGGGGAGACGAGGGCGGGA